GTAACTGAACTATGGTGTGTGTTGGCAGATTTCAGAGTTAGAGCTCAGGTTAGAGATGTAAGTTTCTGGTGGAAAGTACCAGAACTTTGTTTTAAGGGACTATTCCTTTTAAAGTAGTTTATGTGTGTTACTTAATTTAATTCTTACAACAGCTGTGTAATAGCCATCTCCAGTTTGGAGCAGAGCAAAATAAAAACTTCTGACATTAAGTCTAACAGTGATTACTAGTTTATTGGTTACTTCAAGAAAGTTTTATTTCAGTGTTTTCCTTAATGCATGCAATCTCTATGCCAATTTTATATATATGTGTTTCTTTTGAGGGATCTATAGTTTATACAGTTGCTTTTTAGTTACAGTTTTATCAAAAAAGTAAGGAAATAGCATGTTTCAGTCAAGGACAATAGGTACATGTGTATCTGTGTGGTGCATTTACTTTTAAGTATTTATGGAGTGTAAGAGTTTAATAGTAGCTCTGTATAGTAACAGTCATTGTGTGTTTTTTAACTTCCCTAAGATTTCATTTCTGTACAAACGAGTTCTGTGAAATTATTATGGCCCAAATACCAGTGTTTGTATTTCACTCAATTTATCTGCACTTCATAAAAATGCTTAAATATTACTTCATCATCCTTAAGTTTGCTTTTCACTATGTGAAATCTATGAACTAATTCTTGAGTATTTATGAAGTAATTCTGATTTTTCAGGTGTTGCAAGCCCCTAGGAGTATTAAGCTTAATTTGGAACAGGATTCTCTATTTTTCGCTTGATTTTTCATTTTTGAAATCCAGGTTACAGTAAATCCATCCATGTATCTTTAGTGTCTTTCTATAATTGTTTGGTTAGGCATAAGAGTTCTCACAGTTCACAATATCCTGATTGAAATGCTCTAAGAGAATGGTTTTATAGATAATGCATATTGTTGTGTATATGGTTTATATCCCATAAAATTCTATTTTATAGAATGCTTAGGTAGGATCAGCAATCACAGTTAACAAAAAAGAATTAATAAAGAATATCCCTTTCTGACTTGTTTTGTGAGGAAAGTTAATTTATAGGGTCTGTTCATTTGTATGAGGGTTGTCTATTTTGGAAAGAACCTTGTATAAGGTATAAGGTCAGTACTTGAAAATACTTGTAATATGTTGATGGTGGTATGATCATGGTGATATGCTGCCAATTGATAATTGACCAAGATGGAACATTAAGTCTTATGTTGATGTAACGTTAGTTTTAGTTGGCTAAAGTTTCTCCATCAGCAGATTTGTGCCTATATAATTTTTTGCCTGAGAATAAGTAGAATCGGTGTTTGGCTGATAATGATCCTGGGGGATGCTATCACACCTTGTTTCTTGAGGTAGGCCCTATGGACTTGCAACATCAGCATTCTGGGTGGTTGTTAGATATACAGCTCTTGGCCAATTCCAGATTACTCCATCAGAATCTGCATTTAAACATGTTCTCCAGGTGATTTGTATGCATATGAGTCTGAGAAGCCTGTAGAAGACATAAGACTTGGCCTCTTGGCGAGGAGCAGACACTTCTCTATCTAAAATTACAAGGATATAAAAATTTGGGAATTATTTCATAGAATAACAAAAAATAACATAGTTCACCTTAAAAGTACATTTCTCTTTAAGATTAACTGTCTTTCCTGGAATAAAATATGTCTGATGTGTTCTTTACTTTGATAATTTCATCTTACCTACCAAAGAAGGTACACTTCACTCTGTCCTTACCAAATGAGCGAACCCACTTATTCGTAAGTCTTCCCAGAGATAGTGGCATCCTCTGGATTTGCCTGAAATTGAATCTTGACAAAAGATGATGGAGGGCCAAGGCCTGATGTTGGAATGGCATGTACCATTGCTTGTTTAGCTTGTTTTACGACACCAGGGATATGGCCATGCTTTATTTCCTCCTAACTAAAGAATAAGTATGTTTTGAAAGTCTGTTCTGTGCAAAGTGAAACAGAGTGGATTGGACCTTTCCTCAGGCAGGTTAGGGAACTATCCTTGAAAGTCAGTCTGCCACAAACAGGGGATGTGACCCTGTGGGTCCATTGGCTAGACTTCACCAGCAGTGGTTAGAAGGAGACTAGGAGTTCCACACTCTTTTCAGTCAGTCACATCTTTTCTATCCAATAAGTACTGTCCTAATATGTCAGTATATTTAAGAAGAGTTAGAATTTAGAGCAGGAACAAAGAAATGTAAATGTCTAGACAGTCTTAATATAATAATTTGTTGTATACTCAACTCTGAATTTTTCAGTTTGCTTTAAAGAAAAAATCTTTTGTTTGTATTCTGCTTCCAATATTTCAAAACTCTACAGTGTTGCTCAACTTCTGATTCATTTTTGAAATCCAGGTTACAGTAAATCCATCCATGTATCTTTAGTGTCTTTCTATAATTGTTTGGTTAGGCATAAGAGTTCTCACAGTTCACAATATCCTGATTGAAATGCTCTAAGAGAATGGTTTTACAGATAATGCATATTGTTGTGTATATGGTTTATATCCCATAAAATTCTATTTTATAGAATGCTTAGGTAGGATCAGCAATCACAGTTAACAAAAAAGAATTAATAAAGAATATCCCTTTCTGACTTGTTTTGTGAGGAAAGTTAATTTATAGGGTCTGTTCATTTGTATGAGGGTTGTCTATTTTGGAAAGAACCTTGTATAAGGTATAAGGTCAGTACTTGAAAATACTTGTAATATGTTGATGGTGGTATGATCATGGTGATATGCTGCCAATTGATAATTGACCAAGATGGAACATTAAGTCTTATGTTGATGTAACGTTAGTTTTAGTTGGCTAAAGTTTCTCCATCAGCAGATTTGTGCCTATATAATTTTTTGCCTGAGAATAAGTAGAATCGGTGTTTGGCTGATAATGATCCTGGGGGATGCTATCACACCTTGTTTCTTGAGGTAGGCCCTATGGACTTGCAACATCAGCATTCTGGGTGGTTGTTAGATATACAGCTCTTGGCCAATTCCAGATTACTCCATCAGAATCTGCATTTAAACATGTTCTCCAGGTGATTTGTATGCATATGAGTCTGAGAAGCCTGTAGAAGACATAAGACTTGGCCTCTTGGCGAGGAGCAGACACTTCTCTATCTAAAATTACAAGGATATAAAAATTTGGGAATTATTTCATAGAATAACAAAAAATAACATAGTTCACCTTAAAAGTACATTTCTCTTTAAGATTAACTGTCTTTCCTGGAATAAAATATGTCTGATGTGTTCTTTACTTTGATAATTTCATCTTACCTACCAAAGAAGGTACACTTCACTCTGTCCTTACCAAATGAGCGAACCCACTTATTCGTAAGTCTTCCCAGAGATAGTGGCATCCTCTGGATTTGCCTGAAATTGAATCTTGACAAAAGATGATGGAGGGCCAAGGCCTGATGTTGGAATGGCATGTACCATTGCTTGTTTAGCTTGTTTTACGACACCAGGGATATGGCCATGCTTTATTTCCTCCTAACTAAAGAATAAGTATGTTTTGAAAGTCTGTTCTGTGCAAAGTGAAACAGAGTGGATTGGACCTTTCCTCAGGCAGGTTAGGGAACTATCCTTGAAAGTCAGTCTGCCACAAACAGGGGATGTGACCCTGTGGGTCCATTGGCTAGACTTCACCAGCAGTGGTTAGAAGGAGACTAGGAGTTCCACACTCTTTTCAGTCAGTCACATCTTTTCTATCCAATAAGTACTGTCCTAATATGTCAGTATATTTAAGAAGAGTTAGAATTTAGAGCAGGAACAAAGAAATGTAAATGTCTAGACAGTCTTAATATAATAATTTGTTGTATACTCAACTCTGAATTTTTCAGTTTGCTTTAAAGAAAAAATCTTTTGTTTGTATTCTGCTTCCAATATTTCAAAACTCTACAGTGTTGCTCAACTTCTGAGGTGGTGCTAGGAGCTCATTGACTTTTCTGGGAATTGCTGTAGTGTGGCATTTCAAAAACTTCTTAGCCAGGGATCCCTAAGTGCAAATGTCTTGCTCAGTAGTATGTTCACTAAACCACACAAGAGGGGGAGCTTCTCTTGTTTAATCTGGGGTTGTGCCTGGTTCTCTTGTGCACACTTGTGGGTGAGGGTAAGGGTCTTGGGTTCTGGGGCAGTGTGAAAACCTGTGCCTTAGTGTAAGAACACAACCATGACAGCTATTAACCTAAAGACCTGTGAAACTCCTGCCTTTAATATATTTTAAAAAATGATATATTTTTTTAATGGAACTTTTTTCCTGCTTCTTTTAATTTTGATTTTTATCCAGTATTGTTAAGTTTTTCTGTCTTGCACAGGTGACCCAGAAATCTAGGAGGTAGGAGCAGAAAGCTGCTTGTAGTCATTACATGTGAAATGCTTTAAACATCCATGACCTGGGACAAGACACAGAAACACAAAGATACCTGCCTCCTAGGAATGAACACTTTTTGGCCATATGATTGGCAAGCATATTATTAATACAGAATTGAGGAGAGCTTGCCATAAAGTTTCTCATAAGGAAGGAATTGTAAAATAAAATTAAAGCATAGTGTACTTCAAGATTCTAAGTGCTATTCTCTTCATTTATTATGCTGAAATATAGTACTTGCAGAGATTGTATAATATTAAAAAGTACTAATAATGGCATCTATTGGTTCATTTATGCCCCAGATATTTTCCTGTACAAATTCTAAGCATGAACTTAATTTCAGAGAGTAAGGAGGCATTGTGATATACTGTAATTTATATTAAATTGTTTGTAGTTTTGTTATTAAGAGAAAATCAGTGGGACTCCTTTTATTCAGGATTTTTTTAGTGGAAAATACATTTTGACTTGAACAGGATTTTAGTAGCAGCATGATAGTAGATAATTTTAGGCAGTTGCTGAATCTTTGCTTGAGGATTAGCTCAGATCTCATCATGTCATGATTATACTGAGAGGTGCTGGGTTGTCATACGCTCTGCTCACTGAATGCTCACACCACTTTTGCTCTGCAGGAGAATGACTCAGGCACTTTAGACACAGTGGGTGCAGTGGTTGTGGACCACGAAGGTAATGTGGCTGCTGCTGTCTCCAGTGGAGGCTTGGCCTTGAAACATCCAGGGAGAGTTGGGCAGGTAAGTCACTTTGGAGCTTTTAAACTAACTTTCCATGAAATTTTCTAGCTCACAATCTTTTAAATCAGTGGGGTCATTTTTTTCTTTAGCAAAGATAAATGATATCACTCTTCTTTAGCACTTACTAATCTGCCTCATCAAATACCTCTTCAAGATTCTGGAAAAAACCTATCTTGTGTTAATAAGGTTCTTTTTGATCTTTACAATTGGTAATCCTAATGTTTTGTTACTCTCACCAGGCTCGGTACTGGCCTGGCTATTTGTAGACATTTGATAAATTGTGCGTTGATTTCCATTTTTTCTTTCTTCATAAATGCCATTCTCTTTAGGAACAAGCTCTACCAGACTATACTGCTGCTTGCTTTTTGGGTGGGAAAATGATTTTAGGGTCACATTTTGTTTTTCCTCCATTCAAGGAACAGTAACATTTGACCCTCTAAAACCCTCCTCTGACCCAACATTTCAGCTATTTTGTAGACTAACTAGTATTTCAGGTCACCCTGACTCATGATGTCACTCAAGAAATCTAGATATAAGGGGGTTCTTATTCCCAGCTCACTTCCACATCCGCACCACTTTCCACCACCCCCTTATCTAGTTTTTACATAATTCTCATTGTACTGAGAATACAATCCATTTGATCTAGTAAGCTTTCTGAGTGTAAACAATTTGGCACATTACTTATGGGCTTAATAAATATTGTTGACTGAACAAATGAATTGGAGTTAAGGTAGTTGCAAGGGAAGTGCTTAAGCTCAGTTTGTATCTCATGTTAAACGTGGAGCACTGTGGGCCCGCTTTGTGCATTTTGTCCCTCACAGGGTCACAGGTGCCTTGGACCTGGGGTTGAGTGAATGCTTGGAGCAGAGTGATCTGATTCATGGAGGACATCTTTGCAAAACCCCGAGTGATGTTCCCGGATCTGCCCCTTATTATGAATAACCCACTTGCAGTACTGTGATGGGAAGGCGTAGGGCAGAATTATTAATTTTGTGCTACTCTTTGCCTACTGTTCAAGGGCATTCATGGGGAATGATTACTCAATACAATGCTTTGAACTCATTATAAAAAGCCTTTGTCTGGTCATGGTGTTTTTCCACATTGTAAAGCCTGGGTATTTGTCAAGTTTGGAATAAGAAAACCAAGCTTGGCATATCAGATTTGGATGCCTTGGTGGAGAAGGAAGGAGAAAAGCCAGAAGAGCTGCCTTCATTGCGTTGTGTAGTTCCTATGACTTTCTCACTGTTTTTTGTTTGTTTTGATTAGCAAAAGAGCAACAGCAGAACCAGGCATAGTGCTGGACCATGTTAGTATGTTACACTGAATAATCTGGAAGCCATCCTGCCACTGCACATGAGACTATTCTGGAGAAAGAAAACTTCATAAAGCTTACATACTGATTAGCCCCACTTGGCTGGTGTATGAATACACAGTTTTTGAGAGCCTCAAAATCAGGAAATGGTGTCGGGGAGAGGACTAAAGGTGGTTACAGGTGCTTAATTGGATTATATTGCTTGGATATAGGAGATATAATAAGCCTGGAAAATATGTAAGCATCAGATGAGAGGTGAAGAACTATTCTTCTTGATAATCAGGACAGAATGAAACAAGAGACAAAGTATTAAAAACAATGACTATTTTTTCAAAATGTGCTGAAAGTAGATACTTTTAAATACATTTAAATGCACAAAGGAACTAAGAAATTTTAGCATATTATTTTGTTCTGGATAAATGATAACAGTTCAGATGATGAAATGGGCATTTGAATTAGAACTTAGTTTCTTGGCTTACCATAATAATTAGATTTTACCACCAGGACACGAGAGAGGAATTATTATATTCCACTCTACCCGACCCCCACCTAACCTGCACACAATAGGCAGTTGAGTTTAGTAGTTAGGTGTGGACTTTGGACTCAGGTAAACCTTTATTCAAATCTTATTTCCCCACTTAGTACCCTTATTATGGATAAGCTAAGCTCTACTTTCTCCAACTTTAATATGGGGATAAATAGCTATCTAACAAAGTTCTAAAAGAGTAAATGACAAATGACATAATGCATTTAAGTCGCTTATCACAGTCCCTTGTAAAAACAGCTATAGCTACTGTTTATTAATCTTTTGCTATGTGCAACAGGTGTGTTAATTCATGTGCTCATACAATGCCATGAGGTGGCTATTTTTGTTATCCTCATTTTATAAAAGAGTAAGGCCCAAAGAAGATTAAATAATGATAATATTATGTTAAGTAATAATATATGATCTACTTTTGCTGAATGATAATACCTGTATTGAAATTTTAATAAAATGTTACTTTTAAAAAGAAGGAAGCTTTTTCTGTCTGTTTTTAAGGCTTGCTTAAGATTGTTTTATTTTTATCCAAAGAAGTGGAGTAGAGAGAGATAATCTGATTCTTTCTTTTATCCGACCTATCACTGTTTTGAGCCCAGATGATTTCAGAAGATTAAGGAAGACAACTTTAAGTCATGAAATTGAGGGGAGGTAGCACAAAGGGAACTTGCTTAGAGAGAGGAAACGAATAATATGAATAAATGTTCTTTCTTTTCTAGAAAAAGATGACCTCCTTTGCGTTTCTAAGAGGTGTCCTTGTGGCTTTATTTACTGTTTTTTGGTAAAGCAGGAGGCTCCTGATCAAGATAATCGTGGGAAATGGAAAGAACAGTGGCTAATGTGCAGGGTTTTCAGTGAAGGAAGAATGGGCCCTTCCACTGAGGTCGTGTGCTCTCTGTGGTGTTGGGTGACCCAGCGCTTGTCCCAGGTGGTACCAGTTGAATGGCTTATCCTGCAAATCTGCGAGTTTTATTCTGAAATCTATGTGCTGAATCATTTCTGTGGGGCTTTCAAATACTGCTTGGACCCAGGTGTCTTGTGTATTTCATGGTGTATTCAAAGGCAATAATAGATTTTCTACTGTCTGCCATATTGGGAGTATTGTGTGCAGTTCCTGGCTCTCCTTTTAAGAGGCCTATTGTAGTGACCACTTCTGATGGCAACTGTGGGTCACATAAACATGGGAGACTTCATCTGGTTATCTCAGACTTTGGATTATTTCTCAAGGAGGATGATTAGGTGAGGGGGGTAGGTGTATACCTCTCAAAGCCTTGAGGAACAGCTAACAAATCTAGTGTTCTCTCAGTGGGAAAAGAGCAATCAGAGCACTAGGATGGCTGTTTTTGAAAATTTGGAGGACTTTAGGGGAGCTTAAAGTATTTCCAGAGAGCAGACCAAGAGTAGTGGGCAGAAGTTATAATAAAACGCAGTGTAAGAAAGAACTTTTTGCCAGTGGGAAGCGTCCAAAAGGAGACAATGTCCCCACATGAGGCATGAGGTTCTCAGTATCAGAAATGCCTGGGATATTTTCTGGAAATTCTGTTCTGGGTAGAATATTGGACCAAATGAGTTCTGAAGTCCTTTTGTAAAGAATAGAATATTACAGAATGGTGAAGTCTGTCTGGTACCATTCCCAGTCTTAGCTTCTTCCCCCAGTCGTCATAAGTGAGCTCCTAGGAAGTAACAGTACTATTTCTGTTACTCTGGGAATATTTTTTTCTTTATCAACCATACTGAGCACTGAGTATATTGTTTCGGCTTGTCTTTTTTTAACAGTATGTTTTGGTGTTTTGGAGATTGTTTTGTATTCGTTTCTGAAGATGCTTAAAAAAAATTAATTCTTTGCAATGAATTCCGCTATTGCTAGGCCAACATTTAGCTATTTCTTTACTAACTGGCATTTATGTTGCGTTAAGTTTTTCATTCTTAAGAACTTGTGGTAATAAACATTCTTGAGCACACCCCTTTATATTTCTGTAGGATGGCTCTCCAAGGGTTTTTCTAATTCTGCTTCTGACTAAAGAGTGGAAAAGTTATTCATTGTGAGTCCCCTCCCACTGTTGTTGTGGGTACTGAAGAGATGACATTCTGGGTGGCATTATTGGAAACGAAATCAGAATAATTGTCATATTCTTTTATAAAGCCATAGTAGTGCACTGTATTCCTGGTGGTTTCAGACATATAAATCTGCTGCCGCCTCATAAAGTGATTGGCTTCAACAGACTTTCTTGCCTCTTTTCTTTATATTTGGCAGAATTGAGCACAATGGTGAGCATACATTAGGCTCTGCGGCTCATGCTGTTTGCAATTCCTGTTGCACCACCCAAGGGAGGCGTGGAAAAGGGTTTCCTGAACAGGGTTTTGTAGGGGGTGGCAGAGGGACCTCCTGCATCCCAGCCTCACTGGGGCCCTGGTTGATAATACCAATTCTAGTCCAATCCCCAGGCCACTGAATTAGAGTATCTATGAACCATGGTTCCTGTCACCAAGCTCCCCAAGCTATTTGACACACACCTTGTTTGAGAATCACTATTTTAAGGCAAACACAATGATGTCAAGGGGCCTGAAGAGCAACCAGCTGACAAATTACAGTAGAGGGAATGTTTTTCATGGAAGGAAAAACCTATACTGATGAGACTCTAAGAAACTTTCTTTTGCTATTTTCTGAAGAATTTTAGGTTAATACAAGAGTTAAAAATATAATTTTGATAGGGTTAGAGCCATTGTTGGGGTAAGTCTTATACCACATCTGCTTTTGCTGCCCTATTGATAAACATCATATAAATATGCTGTGCAATAAATCAGGTGTTATTGGATGGGTATGATTTTGTCTATTATTGAAAGCTAGTAATTACCCATAATATTTCTGAAATAAAATATTTATCTCTTTTCTTTTTTCCCAGGCTGCTCTTTATGGATGTGGCTGCTGGGCCGAAAATACTGGAGCTCACAATCCCTACTCCACAGCTGTGAGTACCTCAGGTATTTGCTGCTTTCATGACCATTTTTCATAACTTCAATCCTGTGGGTTACTTAATGACTGAAAACAATATTCATCTGTAAACATACGGATGTGCTAAGACATTGCATAGACAAGAGCTTTGATGCATGAAAGATCTTTGCTATTTGGGAGCTTTTAAGGATTATTTCGCAGCATAAGCATCACCGTGTAAATGCTTTTTGCTAACATTTTCAGTACAACTCTGGAGTTAACTACAAATTATGTTTTTGTGGATTTTTTTCTCTCATAACTCATGATAGTACCAAATTAAAACACGAAAGATCTAAAAGTAACAAGGCATTTCAAAAACTGAAAATATCTTAAGATGTTGACATAAAATATATAATAAGGTATATTTCAAAATATATATAGTTTATGGTCTCTAGTCCTCTAACTACACTTTTAATAAAATGTAAGTCCTCTTTTTGTATCTGTATCATTAGTTATTATCATTTCATTACCATTTAGAAATTGTGATGAGGGGTGGATTTTAATGGACAGATTGGCTGTTATCTAGATCCAGGTTTTCATATGCTTGTACCAGATGTCCTTGAGGCCTTTTCTCTTAATGTGGGGCTACATATGGTTGACAGAATAATATTGGCCCACCCCTTTTGCCATGTTCTCTCTCAAGTTACAGCCCTAGGCCTGTCTCCCCATATCCTCAGGCTTTATCAGGACTGTTGATTGATAAGGCAGCCTTTCCTTCCTTTCTTCAATTTCTTGTCACATTGGTTTCTGTCCCACCACACTAACAAACCACTCAATCAACAGCCCTCTTCTCCTGTTCACTGTTGACTTTCTGTAATCTCTGCTGCAGGTGGCTCTTTCTTTTCTGTCTGTAGCATAGATCCTGGAAATCCTTTGTTTGTCTCGCTCCTCTGACCTGCTCTGTTTTGGCCTTCTTCATAGACTCTTTACATCACTAACAACTCCAGGTATGGGTCTCTGCTCACTTTTCTTATCTCACTGTATGCTTCCTCTTGGTGATTGGTGTTATTGCTGCTGTTCTCATGATTTTAGAAGTTATCTCTTAGGGTATTGGCTGCCACATCTACCTCTACTCTGGACTTCTCCATTGAGGTCCGCATCAGTCCTTTCTGACTTCCTGTTGGGCATATTCCCATGGGTGTTTTATGTGCACATCAGATTCAGCAGGCTCAGCAAAGCATCTTATTCCTTATTCTACCCTTTGGCCATCTTTCTCCTGTATGCCCTCTCTTGTATTGCTGTCAGTATCCTATTCTTTGCTAAGACTTGAAATCTTGGTACCATTTTCACATTTATTGCTTGTTTGCATTTCTGTTGACCTGACCTTATTATTTTCAGACCCATATTCTCCTGCCTTCCTATTGTAGCAGCTTCCTGACCTACATTCATTCCTTGCATCAGTGGAAAAATCACTATGTGCTTACTAGCATATCAGGTGAAGTCCAAACATGAAATAATGTTAAATCTAAACCATACTAATATAATTGACAAAAGATTGTTTTTTAGTCTTTCATTTTTTAAGAGATGAACATAATGTAATAATATGAGTTAATTTTTAATTTAATATCGGCACATGAAAATCTTTATGCATAATATGTAGGAATTAGCTTGTGTACATCATTAAGTATGGCTCCGTGTCTATGGAAAATGGTGGTATTGGAACAAACCAAAGTCTAAAAAAGAAAATTCATTGTTTGATTTTTATTTTCCCAAAGAATTATTAGTTGGTATTTGTTGTGTTGATTTAATTTCTGGTCAATATATTGTTCTGATCAATATATCATGTCTAGATGTTAGGAGACGTAGATTCTACTTAAAGCTGAAATCTTGAGAGCCTGCTTGACTGTGTCACTTTGGAAAAGAAATTTGATCTCCTTGGGATTGTCCACCTCCCTCCTTTTTAAAATTGGTGATGTAGAAGTTGCAGTAATAACACACTTACAGATTTGATTCTATTAAGTACAATCCAGTGGGTGGCTAAAGCTAAAATTGTAAAATCAAGGTCTTTCTTCCTTCCCCTTAGGTATTTCCTCCTTTGCCCATCTTTTACCAGTTGAAGATAGTTTCATATTACTAAAGATAACTTTAGGTTTCCAGTTCATGGCATCCAGTGCAGCTTTTAAGCTTGGATGCCTGGCATATCATGTTATATCCTCAAATTTAAGGACTAGCCATCAGCAGCCCACAAATCCTGAGGATAACAGAACAAGCCTTCAGCTGCTTCCATTCTGGGGACTTTGTGTGATTGCTTGACCCTGGGTCTTTCTCCTGGAACTATTGCTATACAATGGAAACACATGGCAGAGTTGGGTGACCAAGTCAGAGAAAAGGTGGGACACAAAGTTTTGCAATTTGTTGCTGAAAATGAAAAAGATTTGTGTTTTAGGCTGTTGGAGAAAGTCCAGAGACGCAGCCTACATTTTAGTTTTATAGTTCTTGGAAGGTGATAATTGAAAAGCAATGGGAAGATAGTTATGGTCAGGATAGGGCTCTCCCAAGGAGAGACAGGGGATTTGATCATTAGCCTGAGGATTAAACTCCAGCATTTTTTTCTCATTACTGGGCAGTGGGGAGTAGGAAAAAGAGGAAGGTGGCAGGAGCTGACCTTGTTCCATCATGTAGATATGCCTAGCTAAGGAGGGAGCTGAGTGAACTCCTGCGTTCTTGTTCAGACTCTTCCAAGCACTGGCTTTGATCCTGACAAGACGTTATTTGTAAAACAGGAATAATACCTACCTTAATGTATGTGAGGATTGAATGAGTTGACATGTAGAGGATACTTAGCACATTTTTTTGGCCCAGAATAGTGGCTCAATACTTAACTGTATTAATAACAAATAACAAATTAATAACTTATTGAAAACAAGTAACTATCTTTTTTACAAGCTACACCATTATTTAAAAAAAGTTGATTCATGTTTTTTTATTGTGCTAAGAAAACTTAACATGAGATCTACCTTCTTAAAATTTTAAGTGTATAATGCAGTATTAAAAAATTTTTTTTACTGGAATAAAGCTGATATACAATTTAATATTGGTTTCAGGTTTATAACATAGTGACTCAATAATTATATACATTACTAGATGCTTGCCACAATAAATGTAGTTACCCCATTACCATACCAAGATACTACAATATTATTGGTTGTATTCTCTATGTTGTACTTCTATTCCTGTGACTAACTCATTTATAATTTGCAAGTTGTACCTCTTTATCCCCTTACCTATTTTGCCCACTCCAACCCCCCTCCCTATAATAGCCAACAATCTGTTGTCTATATTTGTGGGTCTATTTCTTTTTCACTTGTTTGCTTTGTACATATAAGTGAAATTATATGGTATTTGTCTATCTCTGCCTGGCTTATTTCACTTATCATGATACCCTCTAGGTCCATCCATGTCATTGCAAATGGCAAGATTCTCTTTTTTAAGCCCAAGTAATATTCCATTGTGTACATGTACCACCTCTTACTTATCCATTCATCTGTCAATGGGCACTTTTGTTTCTTCCATATCTTTGCTACTGTAAACAATGCTGGAGTGAATATAGGTGTGCATATATCTTTTTGAATCAGTGATTTTGTTTTCTTCAAGTAAATTCCAAGTAGAATTTCTGGGTCATACTATATTTGTATTTTAGTTTTTTTGAGGAACCTCCATATTGTTTTCCGCAGTGGTTGGACCAATTTACATTCCCATCAACAGTGTAGGAGTGTTCTCTTTTCTCTACATCCATGACAATATTATATTTTGTCTTTTGAATAGTAGCCATTCTGATTGGTGTAAGGTGATATCTTATTGTGGTTTTGTTTTGCATTTTCCTAATGATTAGTGATGTTGAGCATCTTTTCATGTGTCTGTTGGCTATCTGCATGTCTTCTTTAGAAAACTGTCTATTCAGGTCCTCTACCCATTTTTAAATTGGATTATTTTTTTTGGTGTTGAGTTGTGTAAGTTCTTTATATATTTTGGATGTTTGCTCCTTATCAGATAAGTTATTTACAAACACATTCTTCCATACTGTAGGTTGCCTTTTTGTTTTGTTGAGGGTTTCCTTTGCTGTGCAGAAGCTTTTTAGTTTGATGTAGTCCTACTTCTTTGTTTCCTTTTTTGTTTCTCTTGCCCAAGGGAGATCCATCCAGAAAGAAATTTCTCATGCTGATGTTCATGAGATTCTTGCCTATGTTTTCTTCTAAGAGTTTTCTGGTTTCATGTCTTATATTTAGGGCTTTAATTCATTTAAAATTTACTTTTGTATATGGTATAGGATTGTGATTTAGCTTCATTCTCTTACATGTCCAGTTTCCCATCACCATTTATTTGAAGAGACTGTTTTTCCCATTATTATATTTGTGGCACCTTTGTTATATATAAATTGACCGTATATACATAGTTTTATTTCTGAGCTCTCTATTCTGTTCCATTGATTTATGTGTCTATTCTTGTACCAGCATCATACTGTTTTAATCACTCTCACCTTGTAGTATATCTTGAAGTCAGGGAGCATGATATTCCCAGTTTTGTTCTTCTTTCTCAAGATTGCTTTAGCTATTCAGATTCTTTTGTGTTACCATTTAAATTTTAGGATTATTTTCTCTTGTTCATTGAAAAATACCTTGGTATTTTGGTAGAGTTTGCACTGAATCTGTAAATTGCTTTGGGCAATATAGCCATTTTGACAATACTAATTCTTCCTATCCATGAACATGGGATAAATTTCCATTTATTTGTGTCTTCTTCAATTGTTTTTATCAGTGTCTGTCAGTTTTTCAGAATACCAGTCTTTCACCTTCTTGGTTAGGTTTATTCTTAGGTATTTTATTCTTTTTGAATGGAATTGTAAATGGAATTGTTTTCCTCATTTCTCTTTTTGCTAGTTCATTGTTTGTACATAGGAATGCAACAGATTTCTGTATATTGATTTTGTATTCTGCAACTTTACTGTATCCAGTTACTAGTTCTAATAGTTTTCTGATGGAGTCTTTAGGGT